AATCATTAACCTAGGGGACTTCCTGGACCACATCTGACCAATGAAAGCACAAGTTCCAGAAACTCAACAGCAGCTCAAGTATCAGAGGAGGGTAATTTTCCAGGAAAGACAAAGGAAACCTCTTAACCAGGAAGCAGGACTCAGAAGCAAGGCATTCAATAATAAGAAGTCATTTGAATTAGAACAATTCTTGGGAGCTTTCTGGGGACAGAGAAATTCAGAGAAAAGAGCAGGAAGTTAGGACTGTGTTGCAAGACAATACATTTTTTTTTGTTTTTATGAGTTTATTGCAGTATTTTTCTCCCCATTTGACATGTACCCTCCTTTCTGTATATAGAAGTATAGTTAATTTACAATGTTGTGTTAGTTTTAAGTGTACAGCAAAGTGATTCAAGCATACAATTTATATATACATATATATGTTCGTTGCTCAATCATGTCCAACTCTTTGAGACCCCATCGACTGCAACCCGTCAGGGCCCTCTGTCCATGGGCTTCTCTAGGCAAGAATACTGGAGTGGGTTGCCATTTCCTTCTCCAATATATACACACACACACACACATGTATATAGAAGTATAGTTAATTTACAATGTTGTGTTAGTTTTAAGTGTACAGCAAAGTGATTCAAGCATATAATTTATATATACATATATATGTTCGTTGCTCAATCATGTCCAACTCTTTGAGACCCCATCGACTGCAACCCGTCAGGGCCCTCTGTCCATGGGCTTCTCTAGGCAAGAATACTGGAGTGGGTTGCCATTTCCTTCTCCAATACATACACACACACACACATATATATACTTTTCAGATTCTTTTCCATTAAACATTATTATAAGATATTGAATATAGTTCTCTGTGCTATACAGTCGGTCTTTGTTTCCCTACCTTATATATGTTGTTGTTGTTGTTTAGTGGCCAGGTTGTGTCTGACTTTAGCGACCCCATGGACTGTAGCCTGCGAGGTTCCTCTGTCCATGGGATACTGCAGTGCCATTTCCTTCTCCAGGGGATCTTCCCAACCCAGAGACTGAATCCCAGTCTCCTGCATCTCCCGATTGGCAAGCAGATTCTTTACCTAGAATCAGGTAAAGATTCTAGGTAAAGATTCTAGATTTACCTGAGCCAACAGGGAAACATGACCTTATATACAGTAGCATGTATACGTTAACGCCAAATTCTTCATTTATCTCTGCCCCTTGCCCCCACTGGAGCCTCCCAGATGGTTCAATGGTAAAGAATCTACCTGCCAATGCAGGAGACGCAGGTTCAATGCTTGGGTCAGGAAGATCCCATGGAGAAGGAAATGGCAACCCACCCCAGGATCTAATGGACAGAGAAGTCTGGCAGGCTACGGTCACCGTGGTTGCAAAAGAGTCAGACACGACTTAGCAACTAAACAACAAGCGCCGCCTGTTATGCCCCTCTCTGGCAACCAGAAGTTTATTTCTCATGTCAGTGAGTCCATTTCTGTTTAAGACAATGCATTTCACTTGAAGAGTTTCCTAGTATAGGTATAGGATGTCCTGCTCACAGAGAAAGGAGGCTCTTTCACTACACAGATCAAGATCTTTAGCAATGGTGGAGGGTGGGAGAGACAGGGCCTGAAGGAGAAATGAAAATACAAGGTTCTAAGTACATGGGATAGACAAGAAGAAAGACCCGGAGCCACCATGGGCGAAGTTCCAAAATGTTCAGAAAGAGTAGATTTCCTCCCCCTATAACAGATGAGCAGCCTAAGGTCAGACGGAATCCAAGTAACTTTATGAAAAGAGATTTCCCAAATTAAGTTGAAATTCACGGGGGGTGGACTTCAGATGGCGTAGTGACCTATAGAGGCTGACACATCACATGGTAGATTATACTCACTATGGATAATCTGGGGTCCACCTTGCAAAGGAGGAGATAACCACAGTCTCACTTTCCGAACTTGGCGGCATGACCCCCTCATTATACTAAAGCTAGAGACCACATCACCTACCACTTTCTCCAACTCACTCTGCTCCAGCCATGCTGGCTTCCCGGATGTTCCCAGAACACGCCAAGGACATGCCTGTCACATGGCGTTCCCTCACTCCCTTCAAACCTGTACTTAAATGTCTCTTTACAATAGAGGCCCTCCCTGACCATCAGCTGCCAGTCCCTATGCCAGATTTTATTCTTCATCGTACCACTTAGCCCCACCTAATATATGATATATTTCCTTACTTGTTTATCTGTCTCCTCTCCAACCTCCTGACTCCAACCCCTTGACAGCTGAGATTGTTTTATTGTTGCTATATCATCAGCTATCAGAAGCTGCCTGACACGCAATAGATAAGAAATGAACATTTATTAAATGAGTGCATTTACACACCCATGGCATTTGAAGTTTCTGCTTATGGTCCAGGGCTGACAAAAGCAAAGTGGGTCTGGACTAACATGCACTAGGTTCTAGGAACAAAATTTTTCTTTTTTTGAGCACTAATATTTAGTAAAAAGCAGTAGATGCACTGATTAAAAATGAGGGCCCTGGAGCCAGACTGTGTTCAAATCCCACCTGTACCTCTCACGAGTTTTGTGATCTTGGGCAAGTTGCTTAACTTCTCTGCGCCTCATGGTCCTTATCTGTAAAAGGGGAATAATAGCAATGCCTTCCTCAGAAGGTTGGGTAGGTTTGGGTTCAAGGATGGTACTTTGAACAGTGGCTGGACATCTTCAGGGCTCAAAAAACAAAGTTAGAGCTGATACTGTGTATAAAATAAACAACTGACGGGAACCTATCAAACAGCTCAGGGAACTCAGCTCAATGCTCTGTGGTGACCTAAATGGGAAGGAGATCCAAGAAAGAGGGGATCTGTGTATACGGATGGCTGATTCACTTCACTACACAGTAGAAACTAACACGGCATTGTAAAGCAACTATATTCCAATAAAAATTAATTTAAACAAATGAGTAAATAAAGCTAGCACTGCTGTCATCATCATTACTATGTACCAGGAACTGTTTTAAACATTTCACTCGCATTACATCATATAACGAATCATGCAGAAGGTTAACTGAGGCCCAGGAGCAAGACAAAGGTGTCTAATCCACCGGGATTTTCTCACTGACATTCACACAACATAAAATTACCACTTTAATGTATACAATTCAATGATATTTAGTACATTCACGGTGTTGTACAGTTGTGACATAATTTTGCTTTTCGACGTTCTGTAACTCTGGGACTCACGCTGAGAAATGGAAAGATGAAACTTGGGATAATTCAAGACTACTTCAACTTCAGAGGTACCTTAGAAGTAATATAGGCTTTCCAGGTGGCTCAGTGATAAAGAATCCGCCTGCCAATGCAGGAGATCAACAGATGCAGGTTCAGTCCCTGGGTTGGGAAGACCCCCCTGGAGGAGGAAATGGCAACCCGCTCCAGTGTTCCTGCCTGGAGAATCCCATGGACAGAGGAGCCTGGCGGGGTAATGTTCATGGGGCTGCAAAGAGTTGGGCCCGACTGAGCGACTGAGCACCACCTCCACCAAGAAGTAACGTCTATTACAAAAAGCCAGATTTCCAGGATGTAACAGCTAGAACACACTCTCCATCACAAGCAGGCCACTCTGACAGAGACTTTGCAGAGAAAACACTGGGGAAGAAAGAACCTGGGAGTGCCTTCACACATTAATTTACAAGGAGAAGTAGGTGTTAATTTCAGACTTTTATTCCACTGAGGATTTAACAGTTGGAGGAAATGTATATTCAAATTGTGAGCATTATTCTGTAGCTGGAAATGGATGAGGGGGCTAGGTTTATGCTGTGAGGAGGCGTTCATCATGCAACGTCTGTTGATACCAAGCATAATCTGAGATGGAAAATAAAATCGTGAATTTTCATTCTCCCGTTAACTGCATGGCCCCCACTTGTGTCTATTATATTTCAGAGCCTTCCAAGTACAAAGACCAAAGTGTTCACTCCCGACCCGCAAAGATCAGTGGGTGAACAGGATAAAGGCCTCAGGAAGGTAGGAGCAAGACCTATCTTATTCTACTGTGTTTCTTCAAAGGGGGCAGCCTCTTTGCCTGGCTGTCCATAAGTTTGTCGCTTAAGCCCTACTGATAAAAGAAAAAAAGAAATTAATTGTAGAAGGACTTCCCTGGCAGTCCAGTGCAATAAATTAATTGTAGCGACAACAGCATCTCTCGCCACTAGGCGGAGCTGTGGAGTTGACACAGCCGCTTCTATTGGGAAAGGAAATCACCCCTGAATATTTATTGAAAGGACAGATGCTGAAGCTGAAGCTCCAATACTACGGCCACCTGATGTGAAGAGTCGACTCACTGGAAAAGATTCTGATTCTGGGAAAGACTGAAGGCAGGAGGAAAAGGGGGCAACAGAGGATGAGATGGTTGGATGGCATCACTGACTCAATGGACATGAGTTTGAGCAAGCTCCAGGAGCTGGTGATGGACAGGGAAGCCTGGCTTCAGTCTATGGGGTTGCAAAGTTGGACATGACTGAGTGACTAAATAGCAACCACACAAGCCACAGGGGAAGGAGGAGCCTGATCTGCTTTAGGTCACTGTTTTCTGCATCGGGTTAATGTGCTTGTACAAGACCCAGTCAGGTGGCCTCTTTGTCCCCCCAGTGCCTGACACAGTGGAGCTCACATTTCCGAACTCCTGGAAGTTGGTTCTAGTTGCCCATAATGTCTACCTTTAGGGTTCAGCTGTCTTAAATTTGAGGTGAAAGATAGAAAGCCTTACACAATGTTCGATCCATTACTCCTCGAGATTCCTGAGTAAAGCATTCAGCTCCTGGTCTGTACCCTCTCTGAGCCAGTACCCCTGTGGGCTGGGAAGATTCAGAGACCTTCCACCCCAGATAAAACTGGCAGATTGTTAGACCAAGAACCCAGGTCTCTTGCCTCCAGACTAGCATTCTTTATGCTCCCCCACGTCGTGCAGTTCAACACACACATTTAACTTGTTGTCTTAAGACACCAAACAGAAAGACATCCCCACCTACCTGCTGGTGCGGTGGTCACTGTTGTTTGCACTGACGGCGGCTCCGGAGATCCCAGGAGGGTGACATTCACTGTGTAGTCAGTTGCTGGATACAGATCTAAACACACCACTGCCGTCTGTTCCCTCGTTGTAAAGTTAAACGAAGTTGCGTGATAAAAATTATTCAGATACCGCCTTCGACCTAGAACTTTAAACTGTCATGAGATTAAAAGAAAGGGATGCATTAAATTTGTTTGGCTTGCAGAAACCTATACTACAAGCAAAATGAAAGAAAGCAAGCTGCTTCCTTCTACTTATCTTCACCCACATAGAATTATTTTTAATACAATAGCAAGCTAAACTGGGTGACAACTTTACAAAGCTACCCTGCATAGCCTATGCAACCTCCCCCTCAACCAGCTATAAGACTAAGCTTAAAATGCATAACTACATCTCTGATGAACCAAATGTCAAGCTGGTCTACAGTAATCCCTTGAGCCTACCCAGGTGAAGGAGACTGCACTAGAGTTACTGGGCAAAATCCTTTTCTTCTCATTCATAAGGAATCCATAGACAAGTGTCTAGAACAGACATTTTACACTTTTACGAGGACAACCCCAAATTATCTGCCTTTGGAATGTGTAACTGAGCAACTGAGCCGTGGTACTTCACTTGAGCCTGCCTATTGGAGCTCCGGAAAAGAGTTTTCATTACAAGCAGTCATCACACACAGTGTTAACCCAATAATACCCTAGCCACCACCAACTCAAGATGTACATATAATACAGGGGCTTATAAAGGAAAAAAAAGACATGTAAAAGTCCCAGATCACATGATCATCTGGTGCTTTAGCTGGATGTTCATGTGCTTAGAGTTTCCTTTGATGCTGGTGTCACTGACTCTTCCATCCTCTACCTTTCTTCATCACAGTCATTCTTCTACCTGACTCTGATACCTGGCTCATTGAGAGATTCCTCTCTCCCCCAATTCCTAGCATTCTCTTGGGTAACATGAAAGTCCTTATATAGAAAAGTCATCAAAACTTGGTCTCAAGAGTGCCTTGAGTTCACTGCTGTGAAGTTCCTCCACTCCACCTGAGCTACCCATATTCACGGCCACATCCTAGACTGTGTCCTCCTCTGAGCTGCTCCACCAGGAGCTCCCAATCCCCTATTCTTCTGGACCACTTGCTCCCACTCTGATTGCTCTCAGGAAATCCCCCAAGATTTCCTCACTCAAAAGAAAGTGAAAAGGAAGTGAAGTCGTTCAGTCGTGTCCGACTCTTTGCGACCCCGTGGACTGTAGCCCACCAGGCTCCTCCGTCCACGGGATTCTCCAGGCAAGAATACTAGGGTGGGTTGCCATTTCCTTCTCCAGGGGGATCTTCCCGACCCAGGGACTGAACCTAGGACTCTTGCATTGCAGGCAGACGCTTTAACCTCTGAGCCACCAAGGAAGCCTCAAAACTGTCTACCACTCCTCACTCAGAGCTGTCTACCAATATTCTAACACCCCCACCCTCACTTTCCCCACCTGTCTCAAAAAAAAAAAACCATTGTTATATCACTTCTACCATTCTCCTTGCCTCATACCCTGAACACCCTTACCCATTTGTTCTCCATGTCACCCATTCTTGAAAACTGAAATCACTCTGTCCATCCAGATGTTTGACCTCACCCACTTCTACATTTATACTGCCGCCATCTGCTGGAGAAAAACCTCACAACTATGGAGGCTGCATTTCTATAAAGTCTATCTCATTCTAAACTACCTGTATTTCAGTCTATAAACAAAAATTACTTTCTAATTAACAAACTTGAAGTCACACAGTTTGAATAATTTTATAATATAGTCCTTTTACTTAACAACATTATAAAGCTTTTCTCTATCATTAAATAATCCTATAAATGGATAGAGTGCCTGTTACCTGCCAGCCAGAGTATACAGTGTTGGGTATACAACAGAAAATAAGATAACAGGTCCCAACCTCAAGGAACTCACAGGCAAATAAAATACCCAGGAATAAGTGTTACAACACATGAGGCTGGAGGAGTACCCAGGAGAGACACCTGACCTTCCTCCTTAGGAATCAGGGAAGACTCCCTCATCTTAATTGTGGGCTGAAGGGGAAATTAGCATTAATCCCCACATGAGCTGGGGATGTGAAAAGTCGGGATAGGAAAAACAATTCAAAGAAGGGATGGCATTTGGGGGAAGAGGTCAGTGAAGGCCTCCCACCACGGAGATGACCAAGTTGATCACTGAAAGACAAACAGGAGTTAGTCAGGTAAAATGAGGGAGAAAAGGGTTTTGCAGTAGGGAGTCACATATGTGAAGACACAGTGCTAAACGGAGCGCAGGAAGCTTGTAGGGGGTGGGGCACAGGGCCCAGAGCTTAGAGAACAGATTCAGTTCGGTTCAGTTCAGTCGCTCAATCATGTCCGCCTCTTTGCGACCCCATAACTGCAGCACGCCAGGCCTCCCTGTTCATCACCAACTCCCAGAGTCCACCCAAACCCACATCCATTGAGTCGGTGATGCCATCCAACCATCTCATCCTCTGTCGTCCCTTCTCTTCCTGCCTTCAGTCTTTCCCAGCATCAGGGTCTTTTCAAATGAGTCAGCTCTTTGCATGAAGTGGCCAAAGTATTGGAGTTTCAGCTTCAGCATCAGTCCTACCAATGAACACCCAGGACTGATCTCCTCTAGGATGGACTGGTTGGATCTCCTTGCAGTCCAAGGGACTCTCAAAAGTCTTCAACACCACAGTTCAAAAGCATCAATTCTTCGGCGCTCAGCTTTCTTTATAGTCCAACTCTCACATCCATACATGACCATTGGAAAAACCATAGCCTTGGCTAGACGGTAACCCTAACTAAATCAACTCAGAAGTCTTGGAGATGGAGAGGGTCATGGAAGTTGAGACAATGGGTAAGACATTCAAAGACAGGTACATTATGACAAGAGAACAAGGAAGGCACAACCTTGGGGGTAATCAAATTTAAGGGATAGAAGAGAGATCTTGTAAAGGAGACTGAGAGGGCTCAGACCAAAAGAGATAAAGAGACTATTTCAGTGGGAATATTGGTCCACAGCAGCAAATGCTGTCAGTGGGAAGCAGAAGATACTTCAAGTCTGTGTAGTGTTCTATCTGATGAATGTATGATTATTTATTTGAACAAATCCTTATTAATGGACATTTATGTTGTTTCCAATTTCCCCTGTTACAAATAAAACTTCAGAGGATAGTTTAATCTTTCTGTATAGGTCTGCATAATAAATTATAGTACATGTCTGAAAATTGATAGACTCTAACAAGTAACCACTCTGGAAAATCATGCCAATTTAAGTGCCCACAGCTGTGTGTAACAGGATTCACTCCAAATTTATAGAAAGACTATGGTAACTCAAGGTTTTTGAGGCATAACACATGCTCACGTGTGTTTTGGCAGTAAGTATATTCTCTTCTGAAAACCCCCTTTAAATGTTCACTTCTTTCCAATGGATTCATTAAGAGAGTTTCACAGGTTATTTAATCTTTGTCTGATATATTAAAAAGAAAAAGCGATTTTTTAAATTGAACTCTTTAATCATTTGAGTGTAGGCCATGAAGTAAGAATCATTAATCCTCTTAACCAAGGTGTTAACCAATTGTCTCCAAACCATTTATTTTTGAAATGGTTTATTTTGAAAACCCATCTTTATTTTATATTAAATTACTTAGGTACCTGAATGTATTTCTAGGTCCAGTGTTCTTTCCAGTATAAAAATTTGAATATTTCACTCATCTGTTTAAAATCCTCCAGTGCCTCCACACAGACATCAAAATAAGATCCAAGCTCAAAAGTACAGGATACAAGGATGATGAGGCCACTACTCAGATTTTTGTCTCATTTCTTCCCATCTCCCTGTTTTCTCTGTCCCTCCAAAAAGCCACATTCTTGATCATCCAATCAGCTACACTACTTGCCCACGGTGTCCGTCTTTCCCCTCACCCAGCATCTTTCATCGGGTGAATTCCTACTTACTGCCTGTGACTCGGCATCATTTCTGAGTCTTGTTAAAAGAAAACTGTACCTGAACATATAGACACTTACATACAATCTTCTATTCCATTTATTTACTTTTTATCAAAACTCTCACATTGTAGTTTGTCTGTTTACATGTATGCTTATATTAATTCGGATCAGAAATTCCAGGTCCTAACACATGATATTCTTCTGGCAAATGGTTGATGAAATATTCTAATTTAATACTTAGTCTACGCTCTGCTAGATGATTTACTAGGCACTAAAGTGTATGGATGTGAGAGTTGGACTATAAAGAAAGCTGAGCACCGAACAATTGATGCTTTTGAACTGTGGTGTTGGAGAAGACTCTTGAGAGTCCCTTGGACTGCAAAGAGATCCAATCAGTCCATCCTAAAGGAAATCAGTCCTGAATATTCATTGGAAGGACTGATGCTGAAGCTAAAACTCCAATACTTTGGCCACCTGATGTGAAGAACTGACTCGTTTGAAAAGACCCTGATGCTGGGAAGGACTGAGGGTGGGAGGAGAAGGGGATGACAGAGGATGAGATGGTTGGATGGCATCACCAACTCAATGGACATGAGTTTGAGTAGGCTCTGGGAGTTAGTCATAGACAGGGAGGCCAGGCATGCTGCAGTCCATGGGTCTCAAAGAGTCAGACATGACTGAGTGACTCAACTGAACTGAACTGAACTGAACAAAATTAGAAAGTTCCAAGCAGCTAACTGGAGACTTTCTCTGAATATAAAGCCATCTAAGTGTAGGTATTCTTTCTTCCCAATAAATAGAAAAGGTAAATTAGATACAAATGTCACTATTTTTTTACATATTAATTTTTCAAGTACTAGGAACTCTGTTATGCTGTATGAGAATTTGGATTGAGTGAACACAACAGGATAGAATGAAGATAAGTCTGCCTGAACTGAACTGAAACTGACACAAAAATAACAAATCTCAGTTCCTACCTGATTATACTCACAATTTTACTTCAGATTTGTGATGTTTATAAATTCAGGTTAAATTAAAACCAACAGCCTTGCAAGAAGTTTCTTAAAAACCCACATCCATGTATGAATTTGTTGACAAAACCAGCTGCAACTAATATACCAAAATATTAATAAAATATGCTGCTGCTACTGCTGCTAAGTCGCTTCAGTCATGTCCAACTATGTGGGACCCCATAGATGGCAGCCCACCAGGCTCCCCCATCCCTGGGATTCTCAAGGCAAAAACACTGGAGTGGGTTGCCACTTCCTTCTCCAATGCATGAAAGTGAAAAGTGAAAGTGAGGTTGCTCAGTCGGATCCAACTCTTAGCAGCAGGTCCAACTCCTGCAGCCTACCAGGCTCCTCCACCCATGGGATTTTCCAGGCGAGAGTACTGGAGTGGGTTACCACTGCCTTCTCCAAATAAAATATAATATATGTGAAATATCAGAGAAAATGATAGCAAATCACTAAATATAATATCTTCCTCCAATTTAGTCCCTCACTTGCAGCTGTCTTGCATCCATCTCTAGAAATAAAAATTAAACAATCTAGAAGTTCATTCCATTAGTGTGTTTAAATACTCTGGATCCCCACTAGGAGAGCACCTAAATTTTTAAGTGACACAATTTATTAAGAATAGCATAAGAGATCTTCTTACTTGATACACTTGTTCTGATCCAACTTTCCTAGAATGCCTGTTCAATTTCAAGCAAACTTCATTAAATATTGAAATACTGAAAATTCCATCATCTTCTAAGAGATCATCACCTAAAAGATAAGGAAGAACACAGGGAAATGTTGCTAGCAAAACATACCATGGTGAAGGACAACTGAAACTCCACAAGAGCCAACAGAATGTTTAACAGCAGAAACATCAAACCTGGCTCCAAGTTCTGACTCTACAACTTCTTAATTGCATGACCTTAGCTAAGTCACTTAACCCCTCTGACCCTCAATTTCCTTATTTGTGGAATCAAGCAATCCGAGCTGCTTTTCTTATATCACAAGCATAAATAATGTATATATATTTTAAAACTGCTGTAGGACTTCCTTTGCGGCTCAGTGGTCAAGAATACACCTGCCAATGTGGGAGACGTGTGCTGGATCCCTGGTCCGGGAAGATTCTGCACGCCGGAGCAACCAAACCCGGGCGCCACAGATGCTGAGCCGGGGTACCCCAGAGTCCGTGCTCTGCAACAAGACAGCTCACCGCAACGAGAAGCCTGAACGCTGAAACTAGAAAGTAGTCCCCACTCACCGCAACTAGAGAGAGCCCCATGTGCAGCAACAGGGACCCGGAGCAGGCAAAAATAAATAAATAATAATAAAATCAACAAAACTATTGTTAACCAGTAAAGGTGTGAGATTTTAGAAAGCTAATCCTATCATTTGGATTGCCCATAAGTAAAATGTCATGAAGGTAAGTATATCAATAGGCAGAAAGTCTGAGAATAAGGAGAAACTGAATAAAAGTCAAAGATCAGGGACTAGAATTCTTAGAGCAAGTGTTTCCAACCTAGAAGATGACCAGAAAGTAGATGACCAGGTAAGATGTTTGTTCTCAGCAGACAGTATTTCCAGGGCTACTTTGATGAGGGCTAAGGCAGTAAAATAATCAAGAAGCAGATGTATTTCCATCACTGTATGGAAGAAAAGTCATTTCATGCCTCCTGCAGCCTAATTCATTCCTTCGATGTTGTATTTTCTTAAGGCAATTTAAAAAAAAAAACTTTTTTACTAATGAATAAAGACCCCACAGAGAGTCTAGTAGAACCAAGGCTAATTTTCAAGAAAAAGCAGATTTCCTAACAAACAAGTCTGGACACTTTTTACAAATGTGAAAAAGTTTAAATGTTTAGCAGAGAGAAGCTTTTTATAACAACCTTTTCATGTGTATTACTCCCACTGGAGTCTTTGCTACCTAAGAAGAAATAATGATAGCAATAAAGTTTTGTCTTCAAAATCAGAATTGTCCACAGCATTTTAAATATCACTGACATAGGCAGCACCAGGCAATCAACTTGGAGAAAATAGTCTTGACTAGCTCTTATTGGAAGGTGTAAAAATATGGTTAGGAGAAAGAATTTGAAGACCTATCACAAGTGTTCTCCGTTACCTTCACAACTTTCATTTTCAAGATTGCATAAGGATACCAGAAACAAAAATTGCCCCATGTATGCACTGGTTTTGAGGCATACCAATATACCTATGTGAGCAGTATCACATACAGTATATGTCTGTACACAAACAGAACATAAAGCAGAAGTATTGTCTTCAGAGTTCCTGTCTCAATATGATTTTCCCACTTACAGCCCTTATGGTCCGAAAACAAAGGCATCTGGTTCCCACTTCCCACCCCCAACCCTGACAGAATTGACGGAGAATAGTAAAAATGGGTCAGTTTGCATCTGGGTTGGAAAGAAGGGTTGACTGCCATCTACAAGTCAGAAACATGAAGATATTTCTACATAGCACAGTGTGGAAGAATCTAGGCAAAGAAAAAGGCTGAGAGCTCCGTGCAATATGCTTTCCAAGCAAAGGAGCAGGGTCCCAAAACCCCAAAGGAAGGAACAGGGAGGACTGATGCCCACAGAGTTGGGGGCTGGAAGCAAGGACAGGCCACAGGACTGCTCCGTCTGGAGCCCCTTAGCCTGGTGGCTCCCAATCCTAAATGCCCATCAGCAGCTCTAACAGAAAGCTTGGACATCAGTGGGTTTTGGGGGTTTGTTTTCTTTTCTTTGTTTAACTCACCAGGCAATTCTGATAATCACCCAGGGTTACATACACTGTTCTCACTATTTCTACTTCTAATAATAATAGTCTCTCGTTAGCACACTGGAGATCATCAACAGAGAAGGACTTCTAAGTGGAGGCCTGCGGATCTGGAGGTTCCATCTGACAGAGAGCTGCAGTTGGCAAAAGGGGAGACTTGTTCCTTCCAGCCTCTGTAGGCGAAGCTCCACATGAAGCCAGGTGATGCTGAGCTGACGCAAGAGCTACCACTTTACGGATCCAAGATAGCCAAGTGCTCGATCAGAGCAGGAGGCTTTCTTGCAGCTGCTCCCCAAAGGACACTGGATCATCCAACCAGCAGTAAATCCTTCAAGATGAGATCTGAGATAAGCATATCAATATTATCCAATAAAAAGTAAGACCACAGGGAATGCCATCCACTTTATTGTGAAAGTGAAAGTGAAAGTGAAGTTACTCAGTAGTGTTCGATTCTTTGCAACCCCAGGGACTGCAGTTTACCAGGCTCCTCCGTCCATGGGATTTTCCAGGCAAGCGTACTGCAGAGGGTTGCTATTTCCTTCTCCAAGGAATCTTCCCAACCCAGGGATCAAATCCGGGCCTCCCACATTGTAGGTAGATGCTTTACCGTCTGAGCCAGCAGGGAAGTCCATTTTATGATGAAGGGAATATCAATCCTAAATAAAACTTTAGGAAAACCTTTTTACTTACTTATTTATTTATTTGACTGCCTTGGATCTAAGTTGCAGCATGCGAAATCTTTGTTCTCACGGGAGACCTTTTCACTGGGATGCACAAACTGTCTAGTTGTGGCTCATGGGTTTCAGTATTTGTGGCTCACGGGCTGAGTTCCCCTATCAGGGATTGAACTTGCATCCTCTGCATGGCAAGGCAAACTCTGTACTACTGGACCACCAGGGAAGTTCCCTAAATAAAACTTTTACTTCCAAGGGTAAATAATCGCAATGGAGAAAGGGGGGAGCCTAAGAAATGAATCTACAAAGAAGAAGAGGGAGATCAAGCCTTGAAAGCAAAGAATGAACACTGTTGAAAAAATATTGAACAAAATAATGGTGAAACTCAGCAACATCTGTTTTGTACACTCAGTAAAAAAATTTTAAAGATGTATTCAAACAGATAAAGGATGAGATGGTAAAAGAATGTGATAGCAGAGAGGAAACTGGTTGAGAGAGGCAGAAATAAAAGAGGAACTAGAAGAGACAAAAAACAAAAGGAAATGAAAGTGCAGCAACAGACTTTAAAGTGCATCAGAAATGTCAATTCATAGATGCATAAATGCATCTAGAGAACAAACTTACTACATACTCACAGAAGGCAGAGGAAAAAGGCATGGATGTAGAAAAAGAGAGAGAAAATGGAAGACCAATGCAGATAGACAAGGAATTCTACATAGGAGTATTTGAAGTGCGTAAACAAATGTCAACCACAAATCAGCGTTTGCCATGGGTGCTCATCACTACCTCTACAAAGATTAAATTATGTGCTGCTGCAAGCAGCTGAACTCCAACACCCCCCGAAGGAGTTCAGAGTGGAGAGCTGAAATGAGGCACTCTGTGCTCCCGGAAAACTGGCTGGACAGGTCTTCAGAAAGCTAGATATTCTCAGGAGCTGATTTTATGAGCCCAATTCTTCTATCTCCTCATATCTAGAAAAGCCCTAAAATCCTTCTTGGTGAAGATTGTTTCTTGTGACTAGCAGAAGCTTCACGATTGGGATTGAAAAAAAAAATCACACCTTCAAATTCCTCTTTCAAAATTTTAAATTCCCAAAGCCAATGTGAAATGCCTCCGAGATTCTGACAACAACGGTTTTGGTCCAAGAATTCTATCTTCAATCAAGCTCCCTTTCACTTGTGAAGACAACAAAATGAGGTTCTCAGATAATCCTGGGCTCAGGATTATCTCACATTCCTCAGTAAGAAGATAGAAATCACGATGCAGAAAGAGAAATAAAAATAGAGAAAAACAGAAAAACTTTGGTATGAAAGAACCGCTAGTAAGCACTAAAACTATGAAAACATATAGCTGTTTATATAATTTTATAAATATTGCTATAAGTTTATATAAAAATGAATTCTTGAAAGATGTAGTGATCTTAAAAATAATTAAAAATAAAAAGCTGGCAATAAAAAGCTGTATTAAGCCAGTAGCAAAAGGAAAGCAAAAGGGGAAGGAATAAAAGGAAGTAAAAAATGCTAACTTCCTTGTCTTTTGCGGGGAGAAGTCAACATGATTCCAGTCTAGACACTGGTAATATGAGAAATACACATTCAAATAGGATTTTTTTGGTTTTGTTTTTTAATGTGTAGTACCAAATAAATTCAAGATCGATACTGTCTGAATCACTGAGAAAAGAACATCTGTGCAGCAAAGAGAGAACGCAACAGACATAGCAACAAAGCACAAAAAAGAGAAAAAACTAAGGTGACAGAAGAAAGGAAAACCATATCACAGACACTACTGTGTAAAATGATTAACTCTATTTTTCTCACAAACGTTTGCAACGTATGTTATCTCCTCAAGTACATCCATAGCGATATTATCCAGACAGATTTTAAGAACAAAAGTGGGCAAAGGCATATCATGCAAGTAGAGCACAAAGAAGTCAAGAAAATGAGGGCCAAAAAATTATTAAATAGGCTAAAGTGAGCCACTTGTTAACAGTGCAAGTTAGAGCCTACAATTAAGACATCAACCATGAACATAAATGTCATAACATCAAAATGTGTGAAACAATCAAAATGTATAAGACAAACTGAGAAGAAAGGCAATCTGAACAAGCAAAAAATAACAATAACAACAAAAACAGAAGTCCTGAAAAATCTTACCACTGAAGTTGATTTAAAACTAAATCTTACCTTATTTATAAGCAAACACTATACCTAGTATTGCAAAACTTTGCCAAATAGTAAAT